ATCTAAAATTAATCTAAGGCTGCTTTCACACTACGATTCCTGAACCGCTATTCTAACTCTCTATTATGTTGACCGATTTTAACTGCAAATATAGTCTATGTACAAAATAAAACCAAATTGCATACTTCAGTAAAAGTCTAGTACGATCCTTATTCGACCTTGAATCTCTTACAAACTTTATCAAAGGGAACAACTTGAATTCTTATCTTCGCAGAATAACGCAAGACCATACACTTCACATAAACGTCAAGAGTCATCAACTCCCTGTTAAGTACAGAAATTAATTCGGTCTCTTTCAAAAACAAAAATCCATCGTTCATTAACAAATGAAAACATACATACATCCTTCCATCCTTCAAACATCCACCGTTACTTTCAATGATTTCATTTCACCATATCCACGCAAACCGAAACTCCCGAGACGACAGCGAAACATCTACGTACTAACGTATATATAAATAACATAAATGAACATACCTAACACCATAAGAAGACACAGAATTAATTTCCAAACCTAACACAATCATCATCCCCTCGAGACAAAGAACGAAAAGGTTGGAAAGACTAACCTCGAAAAGTTAAGGCGACAACCAGCAGAAGTATCGCAGCGGTGTTCTCCATCTCTCCGCGAAAAAAGGCTGATCTCTGTTGGAACCCCGGACAGTCTGTTCACAATTACTTTCGGCGATGCACAAACTTTAATTACGAAACGCGTACTAATCCAGCAATGCGTAAACACTCTTAGAGTCTCGAGGTTTTCACCGCGAGGACAACGTCATGTCCTCGACCGTCCCCGAAGTAGTCGCCAGCGACCGGAAGTACTGGAAGAGTGAGTCTCTGTTCCTGTCCGCGGAAGGTAGAAGAAAAGAAAAATGTCTTCCTTTCGGGCCCGCGGTTCAGTTGAAAGATACGTTAGACCAGGTGACCGACCGACGTGAAACGATCTCTCCTGAAGACTGAGGTGCCCGATACCTGGAAGGAAGTCGTCCAGGTGTTCTAGCGCCTTCCCTCCTTTCCTCCAATAGCGGTTACCACCTCTCCAGACAAGTAACGACCGATGTGCCGGTTGCCGGCGAGAACGAGGCTGACTTCGGCGACTGACTGACTACGAGTCCCCTGTATGCTGGTATCGCGGTATTTAGGCCAACTTTTCATGCGACATCGTTGAATCGAGAGGATTATGGGGACTACCTTACGCCAGGAGTAACTTGAATTTTAGTGAAATTTCCGTGCGAGCTGGGGCAAGAGGACTCGCTTCTGTCTCTAAGTGCGATCGGTGGATTTATTTAACCCACTGCCTTATGATTTATTTCTTAACTGTGATTGATACAGTTACTTTATCGTTAATGATTTATTAGCAAAGGAAAATATTTTCATGCCCAGTATAGCATAAGACATACGTTTACTTGAAAGGTTAACGATTGATGATAGAAAAGTAATATTTAATTTATATTTAAAGAAGATAAATAACACGTAGATTTCTTAAATTCAGTTGAAAATTTTCCTCGAGAGTCTGACACGACATTGTAGGTCAATGGGTTAACCCTTTGCACTCGACGGTTTTTCATTAGAAATGTTCAACGATCGCTGATGAGATGTGTTTAATATCAATTATTAAACTTTTAAATTCTTCTGTATCAAACCAAGTGGCAACTGACAGTTGTTTCTCGAATCCATAGGGATTACCGCTTGCTGTACTAATTTTCTAGACAACCGTGGACACCATATTTATTTTACTAATAACGATTCGGGAGAAACGAGTCAATTTTCTGTTCACGGAAGTGTGACTTTATTAAAAGCATTATGAACGGCACAACTGCTTTCCACTTCTTCTTCCGTAGAATAAATAATATTAATTTTCATTAAAGTAATCTGCAAATCTTTAAAATTAAAATTAGTAGAATTTTCAAGGTATCGTTCGCAGTGGCGCACGTGAACGTACGAAACACTTTCTCGCGGACTATTAAATTTCACGGCTGCGATAATCAACGGCGCTCGAGGTGAAGGTACGAGAACGCGTTTCATTGTTGGAGCGAACCAGAAACAACAATTATCTCAAACAAGGAAGCCTGGCCATTGAGGGTTAGACTGGTCCGGTTTAAAGTGTCGCGGTTCGCTAATCAACGTGCCCATCCTTCTTGCTTATTAGACGCGTTTTAAAGGCTTATTCATTCTTCGCTGATGGCTTATCGGCTGAATCAGAAGAAGATGTAATCAGGACATTTCTCCTCTGATATTTCTCGTTGCTCATTTATTCCATGCTTCGTACCGAATGCCATTCATATTCATCTATAGACTGCAAACTTTTACGCATTTATGAGAAATTTGAGAGTGCCAAATTTCGCGGAATGAGGATGATAGGGGAAAAATATATAAAATATCCGAAGTGTATAGTTCTTTTTATAATGTTTGCCAGGGAAAGTTATTTTCTATGTGGATTCTGTTTTCCTAATTATCTCTCTTGCCTTACGATTTATTTCGACTCAAATGTTCCTGCGTGCGTTAATTAGTTTTATTTTAATTTTATGGACAAAGTTATTATAAAGCAAATCGCAGTATTACCAGTTCAATTAAATTTACTTATAAAAATAAAATAAGTATTTTGGTTACAACATGGTAGGCTTATAAAATAATATACAAAATAAAGATTTACGGTCTATCCGTTGAATACAAATATTATAAATTGATGTGGCAAATTTTTGAAAGCAGTCATGGTATGATCAATTTTCATCTGGATTTGGATCGGCTATTTTGAAAATAGTGTAAGTCCGTTTTTTCCAACTGTTACCTAAGATTTCTTTTATTTTATTTCACGATATCAAATATTTCTTTTCTGTTTACAAAACGTTCACGTTAAAATGTATCCATGTAAATTCTTCGGTTCCTTACCTGTTTCAAAAAATATCCCTTTTACCGTTTTCAAGATAAACGATTATGCAAATCAGTTTACCAACGAAATTCCAATTGAACCATTCAAACGAAACCATTAAAATTTCAATGATAAATAAATTGATTATATCCCTTCTCACTTATCATTAACTGTTACCCTACATATTGTTCACTTTAATTCACAATGCCAAATATTTCTTTTATATAAACAAAACGTTCGCGTTAAAATGTGCACATGTGAATTCTTTGTTTCCTTAAGTTTTTCAAAAAATGGATCTACATCGCTTTCAAAATAAACGGACCGTATCTCGTTGACAATAGAACGTCGTAAATTATCATGCGTACCTACCTACCTACATACGTACGTGCTCGTACAATTAGAACGAGAAATTGGTCCGATCACGTAAACCTTGATTCTTGTTGGCGCACGTTCTCTTCCTCTACTTTTCTAGGGCACCTCAGTGGATACGAGGATTTGCGTAGGGCCGGATTTGGTCGAGGCGGAAATTTGGTGCGACGAAAGTTAGCGGTGTGTCGAGTCACTTGTCAGTAACGTCGGCTTCCTGACCTACATACCATGGCCGCCTTGCAAACGGCAAGGCTCGCGTGCGGTCGCGCATTCTATCAGCGCGTCATCGTTGACGAATAACAACAATAGCAATAACCTTCGTCGCGGAGCTAGTAGTAGCAAAGTCAATGAAGCAACAGGTATCCCAGAATTAACCCTTAGAGCGCCGGTGCCGTTTAGCGTACGGAATCACACAAGCGCTTTATCATGTTAACCGCCACGAGAATTTTCAACGTTTTCTACATAATTTACCCTTTACATTACGCTATTGTTAATATATTTATGTTATTAAATATTTTCAGTCGACAACAGCCATCTTGCATATTGTAACTTTTTTCAAGCAATTCAGAAGCGTCCTTCACCGGTGACCGACACGGCATTTAACCAGTTAATATTCACGTTACGATAGTCCTGAAACACATCTACAACATGTCGAGATATTGAATAAAAAGTAAGATCAAAGCCTAAGTTGGTTTGTGAAAGAAATCGTGATACAGAATGAAAATAAAAAGAAGAGAAACACTGAGTAACAGAACAGAAGGAACTGTTGCTTCGTATCATTAGGTGGACACGGAAAAAAAGGTCAAATCCCAAGAAATTATATCGAGTGCAGCACCAGATTTGAAGAAACCGTGAAAAATAAATTTAAAAACTTATCAATTCGGTAACTGTTACTTTTTATGCGGGAATATATGTTTTCCGAATATTGTACTCTTTTCAATGTCAGATCGAAATAATTCTGTACACACCTCGATTCTTCTTGGTTCTTCCCAGTGATTCAACTAAGGCGACCAGACTGACGCAACTCAAAATGGGGACACAGGATGTAAATACTAAAAAGGGAAGAAGAAGAAAAGACCCTATACAAAAGTAGAGAGTTTTCTACCTCTGTATTCTTCTTTCTGCTGTTTGTGCCGCATGGTATACGGAATAATATAAGTGTTTTAACATTCAACCGTAACATCCACGTGCAACAATCGCAAGAAAAAAATTCAGCAAAAGAATAATACAAGTGCTTTAACATTCAACCGTGACAGTCACGTGAGACATTAGACGAGGGTTAAAAATGTTGAATATTTGAAAATCAAGACATTACGACAGTCCTGAAAATATATTTACAGCATGTCAGAATATTAAATGAAAAATGAGATTAAATTCTAAGTTGGATTGTGAAAGAAATCGCGATACAAAAAGAAAATAAATAAGAGAACAAAATTAGGTAAAAGAATAATACAAGTGCTTCAACATTCAGTCGTAATAATCATGTAAAATTGTAGGCGAGGATTAAAGAAGATGAATATTTGAAAATCTAGACATTACGATAGTCCTGAGAATACATTTACAACATATCGGGATATTGAACCGAAGATAAGGTTAAGTCCCAGAAAGTTGTAAATGAAGCTGTTAACGACGACACTGTGCAGACGCAGTGTCCTGCGCCAACACCGTCGATGCTCATCAAGGGTCTGCTGAGTTGCAACGAGGGATAAACAGATGAGGGAAAGCCCCCCATACACGCTGAAACCCTATGCATCGCATCAAACGATGGGTTTCAGCCTTTTTCACTTTTTGTTCGAGTGCAACATCTATCATGAAACTTCGGAAGACTTAAATCCATCACTCGTAGCGCTACTTGCTCGCCACAAGTTTCAATGTGTATGAGGTCCTTAATACTAGAACTACCAAATGTAGTTCTAAATTTTCGTCTAAATGTCGAGCTAAATTTTCTTTTTACAATTATTGGGAAAAAATAGATCCTTCCCCAAGAAATTTTTAAAGAAAGTGTTTCAGTTATACGCAAACTAAGTTTTGAGTAATCGAAATCTCGATAGATGCACTTTAGGGTTTCTATAGAAAAATTTTGAAGAGTCAACTTGACTGCGTGGTAGTTCTAGTGTTAAGGATGCTTTTCTTGTCAACGTTCCCAGAGAAAGCTAGCGATCTTGCAAGGGTGAGGATTGATACGCGAAGGATCGATCCTCCTCAAAAAGAAGCGACGACGAGAACTCTGCGCATTCTTGTAATCGTACTCGTACGAACGAATCTTTGTCCCTCTACGCGGAAAGCGCAACTTTGTGAAGATCAACGCAGAACTATATGTATTGTAAATAATATTCAATGGTACCCTCTGAGCACACTACAGTATTTCTTACACAAATAGCTTCCTCCTGTTTGTTCTGCTCGGTTAACACATTGTTGTCCAGCGATTTTACGCGGAAGCTATCGCATGTCACCGGTTGTAATTCCGTAATTAAATATGAAAGCGAAACAATCTAAATAAACTTCAATATACATTATTTCTACATAAAGAATTGAAATGAAACTTTGAACATATCTTTTATATAACTTTGGACAATATATAACTTTATATAACTTTTATATAACTTTTGCAATATTTCATATTGTCCCAGCTTCAAAAATCGAAATATCTGATACAAGTGCAAACACGAGTTAACTCGTGACCAGTCAACAATGTCTTAAATTCCACTTCTG